GCGAAATTGATGGAGATATACGTATTTTTATCGACGTGCTCTCGCGAAAAAGACAGGCCTGCCGCAAGAACGCTAACCGGAGCTTGGCCCCTCGACAGTTTGATACGGTTTACGGTAAACACATTTCGGTGGCAATCACGTCGTGGGACGGGCAAGCAGCGAGGAGCAAGCAAGCAGGCAAGCAAGCAAGACTAGTTGAACCGAAGAGTAGAGGTGATGCTCCCAAGGTTGGGGAAGGTGCGCGAGTGGTCGCTGAAGAGCTCTCAGCCGACCCTTTGTAGCCCTTGCCCATCCCCACTTCTGTGTCATCACGCAAGGCACGACGAGGGGCACGACGAGGGGCACGGCGGAGCTGGTACAGGGGGGAAAAGGGGGGAGTTAAAGGGTGGCCTCGCTCTTGGCCAAAGGCCTCTGATTTACTTAGCCTATCGAGTGCTCTCCCAGAGACTCGTCCGCCAAGAATACCGTGTATATACTGCGTTGCCTGAGATACGCGGCTCGGCAGCTTCATAGTTTGTCTACATCGCAAAAACCGAGACCTCGAGATGTTTGGCCGACGCGTTTATCAGTTTTTTTATTGAATCTTTGTGCGCTCTAGTTGCAAATTGACGTAAGAAAGTAAAAAGGAAAGTTTCACTCCGCTTAGACGAAAATAATAATACATCACGCTAGAGGAATTGACACGTTTTTCTCGAATATCGCAATTTTGAAAAAAAAAAAGAAAAAAAAATAGGAAAGAGAATTGTGTCGGAGGAATCAATCATCGAGCGGGAACAATTATGACATCTACACCGTCGCGGATATCGCAGCCGTGATTTTTCTTCCCTTAACGACGCGATATAACACAACGTTGCAGAAAATAAAGAGAGGAAGCAAAACAAAAGAAAAAAAAACACGAAGAAAGCTGACGACAGCAGAGAACCGGAAACCGCACAAATTCGCCGCGAGAAGACAGACCAACCCTTTCGCGCGGCAAGAAACGCGGAAAGGAATGGGAAAGAATATCGCCCAGTCGGTCGAGGGCCGGTCGTCCACCCTCGCCTTTGTTTATCCCGCGGATCTAACGAGGATTTACCGTTGCTACAACTACCCGCGTTCTCTCGACAGTCCCTCCCCCGTTCCCGGGCATTTATGTGAAAAATCTCTCGATGTTGCTTGGAAGAAAAACGCGGTTCCACGCGACGAGGAGGAGAGAGAGTCTTCGTGCGAGAGGAGAAGACGCTGTCTCCCGCAGGAACCAATTTAGGTGCGCGCTCGGACAGATTTAAATCAAATCAGTCTCGCCATGCTATATTCGCGAAAATTAATTCGCGACGAGACGCGGCTCCTTCCTTTCCGCCTTCCGGAAAAAATAGTGCCGTTGCGAAAGTTCAGAAGTTTACGACTTAAATCTTTAGGAGCCGGGCTCTCGTCTCGTCGTCGTCTTCTAAATTTCCTCGCTCGTTGGCAATAAACTTCTCTCCTCGCTCTGACAAGAATTTTGAAAATACTAAAATCATATTCTGCAACTGAGAATAAGAAACTACGAAAGTTGTTTATCGACCAATTTGATGCCATATTTTACGAACTCCCTTTTATTGCTTCTTTTATTTTTATCGTCCCTCGCGATAATCGAATAAGAAATATTATTGTTTAATAATATGATATAAAAGTATTATACACTTTCTTGTCACACCCCTGTAACGACTTGGTTCAATTATTCACATTGTTCGCCGAAAAGCGTCAGCTGTCAACGCGCGAAAGTTGAACGTGTGACCCAAAAAAAAAAGAGAGAGAAAGAAAGAGAGAGAGAGAGAGAGAGAGAGAGAAATCTCTCGATTTATCGGTGCGTTCATCCGTTCCCGAATCGCATCGACAATCTTGGCTGATTCGAAAGTCTGCGGCGCGGCGAGGAAACAAGTAGAAAAGGACGACGGCGATCGCGCGTTCTGGCGCGGAAGGGAGAGGATAGCAACGACGAGAGACGAAAGGAAGCCTTGATATATCCGCCAAACACAAGGAGTTGGAACACCTCGGCGGGATTTATCGGGACTACGGATAATGGATGGCTCCTCTCGCATCTGTACCGAGAGGGGACGTCGCTTTTTTTAAATAATACAACGCGCGTGAGCGCTAAAAATTCTTCTCTCGCGCGCGCGATATGTTTAATCGTGATTAGCGAAATACCGCGAGATAATTGTGGCATTAAATTAGAACGATCTGGTGCAGGAGTTAATGTATGAATTAATCCTATGTACGTAAGTAAATTATGGCACACACACGTCTTTCGATGTCACTTTAGATTAGTTGAAAGAAAGGGAGAGAAAAAATGAGGAACTTTAGTGTCTCTAAAGGTAGATGAGGTCTAAATCTTCAATCTTTTTTCAGTCTTTTTCCCGAGAAATAAAATACACAGTATCAGTTTATATAGTACACAGATTAAGTAGATAGAAAGTTGATTGAAAAAATCCGGAGGGAATTTCAGATTTGAGAATCGAGAGACTTTTCAGGTGTGTAGCGCGATGACGGCAGTCTTAACTGACTTTATAGAGTGAATTCACTCCCGGAAAAGTGAATTTATACTAAGATTTAAAAAAAAAAAAAAAAAAACAAAAACGATGGAACGTCTGACGAAACGCGAGACCGAAAAATCGCGGAAGTGCCGCCGTCGGATTGGACGAATCGCCGCGGGAATGTATTTAATTCGATTGGCCTTTGCCGCCGCCGGACTGTGAAACCAGGAGGGCGCGAAAAAAGCGGGGCAGCGGGGGCGATTTTTATCAAGGGATGAGAGAACCTCTGTTTCCGCCGGAAATGAGGCTTTTGCCACCCCCGCGCAATCCCGCACCAGCGACCTACTCTCCCTATCAACCTTTCCTTCCATCCTTCCTCGTCCAACCTCCTTGCAACCCTCCCGTCCTCGCTCGCTGTCGTCGTCGTCGCCGAGAATGTGTGTGTACGTGTGAAAATCGTATTTATATCCCATCTCTCGCGCGCCCAGGTAAATATTACGGCCAAGTATACGCACCTGCCGCTACGGGCTATGACAAGCGAGACGCCACGACGCCAAAAAATCGACGCTCTCTCGTCGCGATGCTACCCTCAACCTTAGACGCGCTTAGACGGGGCGCATTTGCACCCCAGGTATTCTCAAAACAAATTGCAACATCGCGATTCGAGATTATTCGAGTTTTTTGTTGCAAAGAGAGAATTCGAACGATTAAAGTATCTTTTAAAGCAATGTTTTCGAGAAACCTGGTATTTACAAAAAAAACTCGATTGCTCTTTAATTTCCTCGATTACACGCCCGCAAATAAACGTGATTTATTTCGTCGCTTATTAAAAGCTGATTAATATTCGAGCTTTAATATGAACCAATGTAAAATCCGTGCAATCTGATCGACCCGAACCACCCACGAGATTTCTCCGGTTGGCTGGCTGTCGCCAACGATCTTTTTCGATAGGAAAGCGCGATCTCGTCGCCCCTGTGTGTCATCTCCCTTGCCTGATTATTCATAAGCCTTCTTAGAGCAGCTATATCTTAAACCTGCTCTCTCGTTTTTTGTTTTTATCCCGAGTCCCCGAATAAGGTGGCGAGGGGAGAGAATCTAGAGCTTCGAAACGGCGAAGAGAGTAAGAATCGAGATGGAAGAAGCTTACCGTTGCTCGCTCCTAGACTAGGCGGATGTCGAGCTCGGTTCTTCCTGCTTCGCGTCCTTCTCTGCGAGAAGATGTAATTTTCGCTGTATACCCAGATTAGAAGCCGGCTCGTCGGGACTACTTCTCCTCGCTCTTCGGGTTCCGGCCCGTCTGATAAGTATTGCCTGCACCGTGTGCCGCAGCCTTCTCGCTGAATGCCCTAGAACTGGAAAAGGGATTCGAGAGATGATCTCGGGAACGATCGATCGGCCTCTCACGTTGTGACGTCACGAACAGCGATAAGTGCTTGTTGTATCTCGTTAAGAAGCCGCGTATCCACATTAGCGTGGATATATGGAATCCTTACGAGGGTAATTGTACATCAAACTATGTTTAAAAAATTCTCACAGCATTACACGAGTGACATATGTAATTTCGTTTTACACGAAGCATCGCAAAAAAGCATATAATTTTTTATATGTTAGAAAATACAGAAAATATATAATTATTATATGTTAGAAAATATTAGAACATGTAATTTATATACTTGGAAAGTATTTTTTTTTTAATAACAACAATTTGTTATATTCCAATTCCTATAAAAATTTAATGAGAAAGATTTAGTTTCTGAATTCACGTCTTTTGAAATTAAAATTATCGGATTAGAAAGAGACATGTGCAGCGAGAGGATGCAATTCAAAGGTGAAAAGAGTACAGCTATCAACCCACACCTCTTTTTCGTATTCATTTCGTGTCGTCCTTACATACGACAGGACGAGACGAAACTTTTGCTAGACGCGAGATCACTGAAAGATCGGATAATCGGATTAATCAAAGTTACGATTAAAAGAATTTTTCATTGAATACATAAAAAGCATAAAAATAAAGTATGGAAATACGTGCTACATAATGTTTAAAAATATATTCTTATTTGTAATCATATTTGACATTTTATATATTTATATATATTTTTATATATGTATAGATACTATTGTGTGTGTGTGAGAAAATATTAAATACTGCGTGTATTGAAAAATATATTAGTAATATTCACACAATATTAAAAAAAATAGTATTAACATGGTAATAATATTAACATAATAAACATATTAAAAAGGTAATCAAAAAATTTTTATATCACATTTTATAAATCAAACAAAAAGCTACACACTTATTTAAAAGTATTCAAAGATGATGACAAAAATAACGTGGAATGTGTAAATACAATCGTATTATTTATTGACTCTTACAATTTATATTACATTACATACTATTATAATTTAAAACTAAAAAATAATTTGATAACTACAAAAGACTTGTGTACATTTATTATAAATCTTTGTCCTGAAAAATTAAGATACAAATGTGTATAAAAAAAAAAAACTGCTTTTTTCTGTAATCAATCTTAGAAATTAGATATTTTTAACATGATTTAGTGGAAATGCAAAAATAATTTGATGACAAAATACGAGACTGTTTATGAATTGAAGTTTTGCTTATTGAAAAAGTAAATACAAATTGTGCACTAACGTTTTTTTTTTTATCTTCATTCAGAATGTTTTATGCGTAACAATAATGTTTTTCTCATGTAACAAAATAATTCTTCACCATTTTTTCACACTTAAAAAATATATTCGAGACTGCAGCTATAAGAGACTGATTAATGACCATACCTGTAAACAGAGACAACATTGCCAATATATCATCATAAGAATATTGACACATAAAGTATAATACATAAGATGTGTGCGTTACAATAGTGAAACTATTTTGAAACTTTTATCTAAATAAAAAGCACTTACTTTTGAAACTCCCATTCACGATTATCGAGTGGACAAACTTGTCGAGTTTTTAACCATCGTGAGATGCAGTGAAAATGGAAAGCATGCTAAAACAAAGACACAATTATACAATGACACAGATATTTGTCAGAGTAATATGTACAACATGTAAATATCAAAAACTTACATTGCATACACCCCAAGCCACTGTACACTCTTCGCTAGTAGCAGAAGCCTGATTTGCCTGACACTCAATACATAAGTCCATGATGTGATTACGACAGATAGCACAGTTGTCTACCACAATATCTGAAAGAAATCAATCGTTAGAAACATGTCTTTGTGATCAAGATATACAATTGAACTATTTGAATGTATATGATATATTTGAACATGTGTAATTACCCCAAGCCCAGAGCGCCACTGCATTCCACTGAAACAAATATTTGCACAATTAATAGAAATATACATAAAGAGAACCGGAATGACAAAGCACAAGTGAGGTTAGGAATTCTATTAACATGCTTTAACGAAACGCGCGGATCAGCAGAACTTATTATCTAATACATGATTTACGTATACATATTTTCACTTACCTTTTTTACCTCGAAACGCTTCTTCTCGCCTTTTCCACTACTGGAAGTCGGCAAATCACAATCATCGTCGTCGATTTCCATAGTCGTTGCCATCTTCAAATTTAATATTGTACACAAAACCAAAGAGACCGTGCACTCGATGTTGCGGTACAACGTCTAGCCATCTTACCGTCGATGAACGAATCAAAAACTCCCTTCCACTACTCTTTCAAAAAATATTCTTTTCACAAGAATTAACTCAAAAGTCAGAAGAGATGCAAACAAATTGAGAAGCGTTTGCCTTTGTTATAATAAATATTTATTAAATAAGCGACAAAATAGCAATAATAAAAAAAAGAAATGCGCGCCAATATAAACTGAGCGTCGGTAATAAAGTTATCTGTTATTTCGATAATTGCGTAGTTATAGGCTGTGTTCAGTTAAGCAAGATGGAACAAACTAATGCAGGAAATGAAGGAAATACAGGAATTCATTAGTTCCAATTCCTGTATTTCCTGCATTTCCTCCATTAGTTCGTTCCATCTTGCTTAACTGAACACAGCCATACATTGTTAAAAAATAGTTCATATACAAATGCGAGTTTTATATATATATATATATAATAGTTCATAATAATACAAATGTGGGTTTTATATATATATAAACTCAAAATACTTCAGTTAGGAGAAAAGAACATAAACATAATCAACTATTCATGATGTTACAGTATCGTGCATAATCGACTTAAAGTGTGCGTGCACATACGCACGAATATACGCCCGTACAAGTGAAATTACTTGATAAACACGATACAAAATATAAATAAACAAACTTACTCACCACCGGAGTATATTTTCACCTTTGATTTCTTTGTAGTTTGAACGCCGCTCAGACCGTCCGCCATGATCACGTGCCGCCCGCCCGCTAGATACGAACAACATGATAACTAATTACATTTGCGCGCAATAACTACCGTAACGTAAAGATTCTCCAATAAATATTATTTATCTCATCACTCGCGACGCGTATTTGCGCACAGTATTCGCTTCCGACAAGAAAAAAGCAAGCAAAATAAGCAAAAAATCACGGAGCTACCTACCTTCCGACTTCACTCGAATGTAGCGCGACGCGGAAATACTTTCGCTACCGCGCCTGCGCGGACGCGTCATTCGAATTCTTCAAGCCGCATTCTCACAATGCGATTTCGGGCGGTACGCGCATAGTCGGTTCTTCGCGATTGGTCAATTTCGCGAATTACACTAATTGGATTAACAAAAAAACAAACTTTTGCGGAAAATGTTATTTTATCCTTTTTTTTTATAAATTGAATATAATAAAAGTGGAATGTGATGTTTTTGGCTTGAAAGCGGGCTGTTCGAATAAATCCTTAAACGACAATTTTCTGATCAGTTCTGTCGCCATTGTATACACAACCATTGTCACGTGTGTATACACGCAGAATATACCAGCAGAGAAAAGAATTTGTTCTCTGCTGGTACATTTGAAGATACGCGTGGAGAAAAAAAGAGATTATATACATGTATGTGCTCCGAAATGTGTGCTAAGGTTGTACAGTTGGCAACACTCGCCGGCAGTAAAATGGCGTAGCCCTTTCACTGGGAGAGTCAATACGAGAGACAGAAGATGCGTGCGCGATATGACTGAGACGTTCTGCATAATTCTAACATAATAAACGCGAAACAGGATCGATTAAACTAACAAAAGACAATTATTTGCTTCTCCCGCGACAACTCTACATCGAGTGTCTGATGAGATTCCGGTGATACGTTTCCAGCAGCGTGATCGCAATGGCGGACGATTCCGTTCCGCTGCCGAAGAGGCGCCAATTGGTAAACAAAGAAACACGCGCGAATTCGACGCCGGCGATTTTGACGATCGCGTCGCGCCGAATAACGCGCAAACGACTTCGCTGTCGTGTATTTTTATCACACTTTTATGCACAATTTTACACAGCGAGTGATTGTTTGTTTTTTTTTTTTTTTTACTTGTAGCGCGAGAGAACTAGAAAATTGTATACGGACGACTGGACCATAGGCGACGAGGAGATCGAGGGTCGCAGAACCTTCCAGCTCGACGAGAAGATTGAGTGCGATCGATATGACCTGAGCAAGTTTAATGGTCTGTTTCGTGAGATGAACGGATCGGAGTTTAATCTGTCGTTTCTGCAAAAGTACGGTCTCCAAATTCCGATCCTGTTTAGAGAAAAGTCAGGATTAGGATTGAGAGTGCCCAGCACCAACTTCACTGTAAATGATGTCAGAACTTGTGTTGGTAAGTTTTGATTAAAAGTCTGTTGTTTAATCTTGCTCGTTGTTAATTAATGTCTTGCTAAATGGATCAATGTTGCTCTTGTAACAGGTTCTAAGAGAATACTGGATGTTATGGATGTCAATACTCAGAAGAATGAAGATATGACCATGAAGGAGTGGCAGAAATATTACGAGGATCCAAATAAGGAACGTCTGCTGAATGTGATCTCTTTAGAGTTTAGTCATACTAAGTTAGAGAACTATGTGCAGTCACCTGCACTGGTGCGGCAAGTTGATTGGGTGGACACTGTATGGCCGAGGCACTTGAAAGAAGCACAAGTAGAATCTACAAATCTACTAGAGGATATGATGTATCCAAAAGTGCAGAAGTACTGTCTGATGTCGGTAAAGGGTTGTTATACCGACTTTCATGTAGATTTTGGTGGCACAAGTGTGTGGTATCATATACTACGTGGTGGCAAAATTTTCTGGCTGATTCCACCTACTGACAAGAATTTGACTCTCTATCAAGAATGGGTATTGAGTGGGAAACAGTCGGATGTATTTTTTGGTGATATGGTAGACAGGTGTGGCAGGATAAGTCTAACAGCTGGTATGACGTTATTCATACCAACAGGCTGGATACATGCAGTGTATACTCCGCAAGATTCTTTAGTTTTTGGTGGAAACTTTCTACATAGTTTCGGTATAGAAAAACAGTTGAAAGTAGCACAGGTGGAGGAACATACAAAAGTGCCGCAGAAATTTCGATACCCATTCTTCACAGAAATGTTATGGTAAGAATAATACACATAAAAATATATTAGAATATATTGTTCTCAGTAAATTGACAAAAATATTAAGAGATATATATAATGTTGGAATTTTATATATTTTTTTTTTACAGGTACGTACTCGAAAGGTACGTAAACGTGCTGTTGGGTAAAAGTCACTTGGAAATATCGGAGTCGCAGAAACAGCATTCAGCTCCGCAGCACTCTCAGCATGTACATATCACGCCTTTTGAGTTGCATGGCTTGAAAGCAATTGTTATGTATTTACATTCACTGCCGTCGACGAAGAAAAACGTTCCGGATTTGATACGTGATCCAGTTGCTCTCATTCACGATGTTCGGTGTTTGGTAGAGAAACACAGGCATGATAATCCTGATGCTGCCGTGACCGGAAATCCTGTACTACCTCCACCGCCGCCTATGTCTCTTGTTGACAGAGTACGTATCTATCGTTGGTTCTTGCGCTTTTTTTTTAAATTTTATTATTGTGCTGTGATTATTATTTTTCCAATAACTTTTCTAGGAACGTTTGAGAACGACGAGAAAAGGTTACGTGAAAATACAGAGGCATCACTCGGAGAAGGCCGAGAGAGCGTTCCCGCGCAGGCGACGCACTAGATGTAAGAAATGCGAAGCATGTACGAGACAAGACTGCCGAGAATGCGTGTACTGTCAAGATATGGTGAAATTTGGCGGCAGTGGTCGCGCTAAACAAACGTGTCTTATGCGCCAATGTTTGAGGCCTATGTTGCCTGTCACATCGTCCTGCAAAGTCTGTCAGTTAGACGGCTGGGGACAACCACCGACACCGCTAACAGGTACGAGAAATATGATTTAAACAAATATGTAATTGAATTGAGTATATATCGGAGTAAGTTTTAAGAGCCGTCTACAATGGAGAGTTGTAGGCCGTAACAGTAAGAAATTGACAAATCACAATCGATTATTCTTCTGTACTTTGTCTGTGATTGGTCAATTTCTTACTATTACGGCCTACAACTCTCCATTGTAGACGGCTCTTTACGCTTACCTGTGTTTCTTGTCGCAAGATAGTCGAAGTCATGTCGGTCGTCGGAGAATAACACGAAATCAGAAAACAAGTGCCGAGTCAAGGTTGTTGTTATATATAATGCCGTTGTGTCTATTTGAGCTCATATCGTAGTCGGTTACAAACAATGCAAGATTCAAATTGAATAATAAGCTGACTAGTCGTGCCGGTGGTTAAACTGATATTTAACTGTGAAACTTCTCAAAAAAGAAAACTAGTTCTTTACAAATTTTACAAGTATCTGAATAATAATTGCAGGTAGATGTGTTCCTTCGGCAGCGTCCTCTTTAGTGGAGTGTTCAGTATGCTTCGATATTGTGCATCCAGAGTGTATAGGTTTGAATTCCAAGGAGATAACAGTAAACGACGATCTGCCAAATAGTTGGGAGTGCCCGGAGTGCTGTGAACGAGGTCGTAACTTGGATTATAGGCCGCGTCAGCCAAAAGGGCGTGCGCGAAAGTTGTCAGTATCCAGTGCAAGTTCCTCAGCACCTACCACGGATTCCGAACGGGCTATGACGCCGAGCAAAAGAACTAGACTTGATCCTAATGAGGTAAATTAATTTTATTTCATTTTTTGATAAAATCACAAAGCTTATTTCTTGACTATGTTTTGTGTTTTGTTGTCTTCAGGCGTGGAACGACTCCCCTGGAGAACCAGCTGAGGGCGAGCAGCGAATGACTCAGCAGCGCACTCAATTAGCCATGCAGTTGATTGCCTCGAGTAGCAGGTCCCTAGTTAAGCCGCACGTGGTGGTCAGGCCGGCGCCTCCTCCGCCCGTCGAAGAAACCGACGGAGACGAGCAGAATCCTGTATACAACAAGACGGTGATGCTCGCGGTGTTTCGATTCCTCGGTCAGAAAGATCTGCTCAATTGCGGCGTAATCTGTCGCACCTGGTCGAGATACAGTATAGACCCCAGTTTGTGGAAAAGACTCGATATGTCGCACTACAATATCACGTCTATACAACTGACCGCCATTGTACGACGGCAACCCGAGAATCTCGTGTTAGACTGGAGCAACATCAACAACAAGCAGTTGGCTTGGCTGCTGAGTAGATTACCGCAATTACGAATGTTGTCTCTTCAGGGTTGCAATTGCGCCATTATTCGTGCTCTTAAGAGCTGCAGTTGTCCGCCTCTGGAAACGCTGAATCTGAATTACATCACGTTGGACGACGCTGCCTTGCAAGAGGTTCTGGATTCACCAACGGACTCAAGACCCGGTCTTATCGATAAAACTTCGCGACTCAAGCACCTTAAGAACTTGTCCCTCGCGAATTGCAGTCTCTCGGATCAAGGCATCAAGTACATTGTTCAGCATTTGTTGGATCTCGAAGTTTTGGACCTCTCCTCAGTTGGCAGGCTTACTGATGCCGGCGTGGCGCATTTGACGTCGCTGCAGAAATTGACGTCATTGAACTTGACCAATTGCAAGCTGATCACGGAAACGGCTCTCGATCATCTCGCGAGATGCGAGCTTTTGAAGCATCTGGATCTGCGGCATACGTCACAAGTGTCAACGCAAGCCGTTATTAAGTTCGCTGCCAAGAGCGAGCACAACCTGCACGTGGTGGACGTTAAGTTGGTGGAAGAGAAGAAGGTGAAAATTGAGAAGGTGAAGATGGAAGTGATGGACACGTGAAAACAGAACATAACGCTCGGGCGCGGATTCATTATTCAGTGCAACTCGATTTATCGTCGCGTAGAGACATTCATTCAATGGACAGCTAGAGCCGTAATAGTGCAAGCAGCAGTTATTTATTTTACACAAGAGATTCTATATGGACATTGTTACAACATGTGCATCCTTAGGCTAACGACAGAACGAACCTGACTAGTATTAGGATTTCTATTCGGATAGCATCAGTTTTTATTGAGATAACCCAGAGCAATTTCTTCGCGACTTGTGTTCTTCTTTATTTCTTTTTATTACAGACGTTTTATTGGTCTACAGATCGCGTTCGGCAAAATTGAAATTCCATTGCGCAACTGTTCGCGATTATCGATTGTTTCACTCACAAGTATGGACGTTTATGAAGTTGCACCTTTTATTGTTAAGATAATCTTGAAACATTATTGGTGCAACTTATAAAGACTTTAGTCTAGAAACTGAGAGTCCAAAGAGTCGAAAGCTATCACAAACCGCAGCTCAGTTGTGTTCTGCCGAACGCGGACCGTACTCGCTAACTGATCAAATAATCTTCAGCAACGCGTTATGTCTGAAATCACTAACTTATTTTCGTCACATTTATATGTTTCTCATTGAATTTTTTGTTCAGGCATTCGTCTTCTAAACTTGTGTAAAAAAAATAGTGTAAAATATCACGATAACAACAAATTCTTGATATTATTTTTTTTTATTTTGTACATTTTACAAAGAAAAGCAAAACGCTTTATTTTAATGCTCTTCGAGTAAAATTAGATTGTATTTACCAACATCTTAAAAAAAAATATACGAAAGACGATATATATATATATATATTATAGACTGATTCACGATTTTCGATGTTCTCTTTTACATCAAGTATTTACGAACAATGGCAATCATGTACGTTCCTCTTTGTTTTTTTTAGATGTATTGAATATCTAAAAAAATTTTATTTTCTCCGGGTGTTGTCATAAAGTGTGAAAACAGTCTCTTTGTTCGAATTGAATCGCGTGAATCATCCTATATAGAAATTGTTGGATTATTATACATGAACAGTATTTTCGCATGGGTTGTGACGATAGTGGAAAGTGCTCAGAAATAGGTATCTTCTATGACACTCTGTCTGAACACAAAAGCACACTCGGAAACCTCGAAGGAACGTCTTCGCGTGAGGAGTTCTTCTCGCGATCGTACATATTAATCCACAGAACGAGAGCGCCGCCAAAAATACAACATATACACATATGCAGTCGACTACATTATTTCGCTAACGTAAGTGATCTCTACGTGTTAACGATACACTACATGTACATGTCTCGAATTTTACTTTTCGACACAATAAGATGTTATTTCGGTATAAGCAACCGTGGTTTGCAACAAAAATCAAACCGCTGATGTACATACCTGCTTTTTATATCATGCATGTCTCTCTCTTTCTCTTTCTCTTTCTTTCTTTCTATTTCAATTCTCTTCTCTCTCGTTTTCCATCCGCGTTCTTTCTCTTTTCCGTTTCTCTTGTTCTCTTCGAGCATTATACTATGTATGTATAAGGAGTGAATTTTATATACGTGTGTGAGAAAAAAAACACCAGTGAAACATGATAAGTCGTGTATCAATCTTTGCAGTGCGGATCTTTAAAAAACAAAATATCGTTCGATTTTTTCACTGTATATTTCGATTTGTCAAGTAAGAAATTTGTTTTCTGTGCGAATTGCGGCGCAATTGCAGATTCACAACATTGCGTGCTACAGCATGCGTTGCAGTATTTCGAAAGTGATTTGCAATAGCGAGTTTTCCGCAACTTTCTTTATTTATGTTGAAAAGATATTTGTACTTGTCAGTATCGAACGTGAATCACGTGATTTTTTTACGTAACTTGATTTCCTCGCGAAGTTTAAGATAAGAATGAAGTTCGTGCATATAATTGTATAATACATGTAATCTACAATCAGCGCAATTGCGATCTCTAATTTCCAAATATAATTTTGATTTTCAAAAAAGTCTCTCCGATTGTTTCCTCCATACCGTTCCTCCATAATTTAAACAAAACCGAGTATGGAAGAAAAATTAACCAAATGTAAAATATTTAACAGTTTTAATACCAGAACTTTGTTCTTTCGAGAAAAGCGGAATCTTGGAAACGCTTGAAAACGAAATTATAATTCTCATTATTCCGAACTTCTGTGTAGAAACAAGCATAGAAAATGTTTGTATAATTTTTTACACGTGTGAGTAACAAATATTTGATTAAAAAATTTATATCATACAAAATTGGGAAATTGTAAAAACGTGATACATATAATTTTGCAACCAAAACGATTTGGCGAAAAAACTTTCTGTTAAATGGAGATCGATGTCCATTACTTGCGATTGCGTATTCAAAATCTATTCAATGTCAGTCTCATCCAACGTAGATAAAATCTTTTCTGAAATGAGAAAAGGGGTATTTCTTTAATTTGCAATTAAATGATGCACAAATGTGCGGGGCAACGATTCGTAAATTACGCTCTCAATCAGCGTAATTCGAATTGCAAACATTCTGCAACCTGCTCGACCTGAAAACAACAAATTTCGATGTCGCAGAGCGTTCAGACGATGACAAAATGACATTGCTGTACCTGCAATAGGTCAAGCGAACAAAAAGAAAATATAATGAAAATCTCAATGAGATCGGCATAAAGCATCTGAGAAGTTTGAAAAGCTAGATTATGTACGCAAAACTTATCCACTTCAAGTTACAGGGATAGGTAAATTTCAAGTTTATATGTTTGGATGATTGCTTATCGACATATTTATATATAAAACAAATAGTTATTAAAATTATTTAATTATAAGAAGAGTAAATTGGATGAAAATGAATTTGTTCTGATCGAGAAGTCGTGAGTTCGAGTTCACTTGAATGAATCTATATATGTTCTTTGAAAGCTTGTGGAGCATTTATTAAAATAACTCATTTTTTTCAATAACCTATCACGAACAGCGCACTCTCTGATCAACAGGAAATTTATTTAAAAATATTTTACACCTTGACAGTAAAAAGGGGAACGCTAGTTTTTCCATCGCAAAATATCGAACTTTTATTCCAAAGGAATATCATGCTGGTCTTTATTTTGTGCCAATTATTTTTTTTTTTTTTTTTTTGTTCCGAGAGAGTTATAATTACCCGTCGAATAGCGTAAAAAAAAACAAAAATAGAATGACCGTTTTGGACACACATTGTGAGGAGAGCAAGGTAGTAATTGCAACATTTAATCTCCAATATTTCACGATTCGCGAACACTCGATATTTTGTGACCGAATTGCACAGAGATGTCTTTACACAAGTAATTTCGATTTTCGGAAATTGAGGTTGTTTGTACGAACACAAGCATCCACACGTGTAACAACGCAACGTTTTGTTGGAGGAAATACTCCATTGTCAAAGTGAACATTTTTCCAAATTTAAAAGCGTGACGATTTTCATTCCCACGCAGCCTTTCGGTTAGGTCAGTCTTTGACAAATTTAAAGTGTGCGTTCAGCTTGTGTATTTTTTACACTTACAATTAACACTAAATACGTGATGTTAAAATAGCGCGATTTACGTGTAGTAATGTAATTTATGTGCGTGAGTATGCGGCGAGAAGATGTGTGTGCGAAAATTATTGTCATGATATCAAAAACGTAATATGAATGAATCGTGAAGAGAGAAAGAGAGAGTCGCATTTAGCGTTAATTATTGCAGGTTTAATTAAATCCCGCGATACTCTAAACGTGCCCTCTGTTTCCTACAATAAATTATATAATAATTTGCGACGTAATGTAATATCGCGCGACAAAATTCGGCAGACATCTCTGCGTACGTATCGCTGTTCCCTAAAAACAAAAAAAAAAAAACATCTCGCGAGAGTGAGTGAGTGAGTGAGTGCGTGTGTAATTCTCATGTTTCTCGTACAATTTGTCTATTTATTTCATTGAGTAATGTTTTATACGTGTGTGTATACAATTTCAGCATCTCTGTGGAAAAAAAGAATATTTCTCGCTCGCGTGCCGTGTCTAACCTAGTTCTGCTAAAACAGAATCAAGATCCTCCTGCAGGGCGATGCTCTCCTCGCGTTGCTTCGCCAGTGTGTCCTTAAATCGATCTACCTGCGCCTTGAGCAGGTAGTTGCCTTTCTTTAACGCGGTCAGTCGTCCCTCGTGCTTCTTCGCGTGTTTCTGAAAGAAAGGAACGCGTTCAGGAACGCGACTCGCATTTTTACACCCGAGAAAGTAGTAATATTTATTGTCGCGCAATAATATTTAGAATGTGATTTTTTTTAACGGCATCACTCACTTCCAAAATGGCTTTACGCTTTTCTATGGGCGCGTTTACGTCTTCAGGCTCGGATTCCTCCTCCTCCGATTCCTCGGACTCGGATTCCTCATCGGATTCCGTCTCCTCTTCCTCGGACTCCTCCTCTTCCTCCTCCTCTTCCTCTTCTTCGTCGGCTTCCGACATCAGTTTCGCCATCTTGTCCACTTGTTTCTGCAGCTCCTTGTACTTCTTCTTCTCCTCTTTCAGTAACTTCTGCTGCTGCTTGATTTGCTCTTTCAACGCGAATCGTTCTTTCCTGGCGTTCACAGTCTTGTCTCTGCGTTCGGGCAATGAATTTTATTTTAATAGAAATTATGGAATCATTTCACATCAGAGATGTGTGAGTCGAATACGATAGTGTCATAAAATTTCATTATTTCTCGCGCGCTCACTTGAAATTCTTAATTTTCGTAGTGAGAAGCTTGATTTCCCTCTGCGCGCGTTTCTCCGCCGCAGCTTTCGGATCCTCGTCATCGGTCTCTTCCTCTGTGCTTTCCTCCTCTTCCTCGCTCGTGCTGGCAACGTCCGGCTTGTCTATGCTCTTCTGCGTCGCGACCTTCGCCACGTCCTTCGCGCTCGGACAACCGGCCAGTGCCATTCCTGCAACATCGTACCAGTCCGCGTCTTCCGAGTTCTCGAATATCGATTTCGTTTCGATTTCGACAGACGCAGACTCTTCTTCTGCAGCAAGCGAAAGAAAGCAGAAAAAAAGGAGAGCGTAAAAAGCGTAATTAGCACAAGCGGCATTAAAAAAGCATACGATATAGTTTTGTAAGATTAATTAAGCATTTTGCTTGAAAATTGCAACGCAATTAAAGTCAATCGGGATGAGCCAATTAAAAGCCAGATAAAACCTTAGATTTTTTCTTGTGAAATATCTAAGTAAAGACACACATATTTAATTAACGTACCGGCTTTCATGCGTCTCTCCAACGCCGCGTACATCCTCTTCATTTCTTCCAGGTCGCTTCTGGCCTTATCTCTTTCCTCCGCGGCGGCGGCATATTCCTTTTCCGCTTTCTCCGCGTCCTTTCTCGCTTGTTGCGCTTCTTGCCTGAGGGATTCCGTGAGCTTCTCGTCGTGCTGCTTGTTCTCCTGCGCGTTCTTTTGAAGCTTCATTCGTTCCACTTCCGTCTCGAGATTCAAAATTCTCGCCTGCGCAAAGGATGATGTTTTAACGCTAATTTTTTTTTTTTTTTTTTCACGGTTCTTTTTCTTTCTCTTTCAAAACTCGAGTCATATTCAGTCACTGAAAACTAAACCCGTGTTTTGCGGTTTAAAAAAAAAAACAAAGAAAAAGATTCCTGAGGAATTCTTTTTTCTCGTGGCTAATTAGATCGCTACCTGCAGTCGCTTATTGTCGCGTTCTAGCGCTTCCTTGTTCCTTAATTCGAGCGCGAGCATCTGTTTCGTACTTTGTAAATCATCCCTTACGGCGTCTATGTCGTCCATCTCGTCCTGCACGTCGTTCACGGGTTCTTCCTCGGCCTTTTGTATTTGCTCCTCGATGGTCATCTGCCGTCGGAACTTCCTCAGACCATCCAGCATCGGCTTCGAGCGATCGTTGGTCTGCGTTGGCTTGAGCCTCACGCCCTGCTGAATCTGTTTCAGCAGTTTGTTGTGCATGTTCGACTTCTCGGACTCGAACACGAAGTGGGCCTTACCTAGAGACAATCGAGATTCGAGGGATAAAAATGCGCGCGAGTTTTGCGTCGCTTTAATCGAGAATGCAAAGCGTTCTGATAATGCGGTTTCGTTTTTCGGCAACAAAACAAAACCGCCTCTGTTCTAAAAATTTTTTAAATACATTTTTATAATTTTTGTTTAAAGGGACTGGAAAATAGTTTTTCCTATTGCTATAACTTTTGTGTCTTGCTTTGTTTAAAATGCAATTTGATGACGCGGATACACTTCGTGTTCAGCGCTTGGCGAACACATCGCGTGCGGTGGAATGTACACACATAATCAGAAATTTCCATTAATTAATACTTAACGTCTCGTTTTTTTCTGCAACAAGCACACGACGACGAGTCACTCACTGTCAAACGGTGTTCTCGTTTTTCCGTCGAGGAGTGTCAATGCGGAGATTGACAGATCCTGGTCGCCGTTCGCTCGCGCGACAGGGGAAAAAAAGAGGGAAGGCGGGATATGGACATATCCATTGAGAAACACGAAGACACCAGTTAATTTAACAGCGATCAGTTAACAGTTTAATTATAGTCCAACAGGTTAACAATGGATGAACGAACTCGTGTGTCAAAAGGGGAAGAGTGTGTTTTGGACGACAACAGGGGGAGGGGTTAGCAGAGCAATACTGCTGGCTCTACAAACGAGGGGCGCGGAATTCCCCTTCGATGTCTGAACAATCGCATTCTATTGGCAATTGGTTTCTTTGAACCTCGCGCGGAAAAAAAGCAGAGGAAAGAAAAGTTACGCGGAGCATAAAAAATCTTTTTCCTAGACGGCTTCTCTTTCTAAGGAGGGCTGCTTCCTACAAAGGGGGAAGATTTGGTCCGGCAGGCACTCGACGGGGATCGAAGAGGGTACGACGATCACCTGCTGAATCGGCCGTGACCTTATTCACTCTCTCGATCAGGGGCGCACTGCGGTCGTTGCACTTGACGTGCCTGAGCTTCTTGCCGCTCTCAACCTCCTTCATCATGCTGCCCCAGTCCGGTCGTTTTCGCGGCCTGGACTTCAGTATCTCCAGCTTCTGCATTTGATTTTCGTTGAGCGGCGGCAGATCCTTGATGATCGTCCGAGCGGGCGGCGGTGGCGGCGGTCTAGGAGGTGGCGGTGGCGGAATGTTCGCTCGCGACGCGCTCTTTGACAAAGTAGGCGCACCTTAGCAGAGAGAACAAAATTTTCTCGTTAGGAAAAAAGTGTGACGATGTATCGATTTCTCGCACGTTGTATTTTTGGAGCGTTCAACCCTTTCAGCGTTTCCTAATTGTGGTTTTTTTTATTACTTTATCTATCAATGGTATTTTCATATTCAATTTCGGCTCTTAGAATTTATTGTAAAATTTTATAAATAACTAACAATTATCTTAAATATAAAAATACGAGGTTCTTTTTTTATTTTAGCGAGAACTTCTGAGAATTAACATTCAACGATCGTTCTGAAGGGTTTAATTGTTGCGCGCGAGCGGTACTTTCGAGAAAGAATGATCGTACCTGTGGTGCTCTCACTCTTCGAGAGCGGTATACTGTCACCTCGTGATCGAGATCTCTCGATACGAATCTGTCGCTCGAGCTGCGGCCTCGAATGGGGCTCCTGCCGTCCATTCTCGCGCAGCTTTGCCGACACCGGCCGGCCAGTTGGGATTTTTTCATTACTAGGTTTTTCATTATTCGGCTGCTTCGGTATTATCGTGATTTTGCTCTGTTTACGCGGTTGCCCATCTGTCGACGGTGCCGCCGGTTCCGCGGGTTTTGGCACACTCTGTTAAATTTAGAGAAAAATCACTTCTTTAATTATCGACTTTGTTTAATTTCATTAATTAATTCAGTGATGATATTACCAGTCACTTTTATTATAAGAAAGATATAGATTTATTTTTAGTCGAGAAAATTATTTTTTTTTGTAACGAACGAAAAGAATTTTGCAGTTTTACAATTATTGGCACCCTCGCGTTGTCTTTTCTCAATTCACGTTTTGCGTCACAACGCAAATCAATATCTCATGCGCGTCTTTTTTTTTTTTTTTTCTTTCTACGAACGCGTCACGTCGCGCGAAGAATACGTAAGAAGAATTGTCGCACTTCTCGCGCGAAAGGTAGTCGTGACAGAAAATAGAAAACGGAAGGATCGTCCCCCTCGCTCTTTTCGGCTCTTAATCGATCGGAGACGAAGAAAGAACGAGAGAAAGAAAGAAAGAAGAAAGAGCGAGACTTTGAATCGTCTTGGCAAGTTTTCTCGAAGAGTTTTGTTTCGTCAGCTTTAAATAATCCACATTGAATCTTGCAGTCGAAATGTCATCGTGTTTCGCAAGTTCGATCAATTAGAGTTTGAAGAAACAAAACAAAAAAAAATAAATAAATAAATAATCAAAATCGCTACGTACACAATGTTTTTAATTCGTCAACTTAAATATTCGCGGTAATGTTTTCTATTTTTATCCTTCGTGTAAAACTTCTATGCGCACAAACGCGCATCCGCGACGACGCCGCGGCGTTCGCGGTTTTCGTCGCGCGTTTACGCGAAATCGCGATATAATCGCGTTAAGAAGCTGGCGGAAGACGCAGCTGGCGAGACATTTGAAATAGAAACGTGTGTTCTTTAAATAATCGTGACCCAGAGGCTTATATGCGAGAGAGCACGCGTATACGCGAGAGAGTATACGGAGTCTCACTTTCTTTCGTGTCGTCGGGAAAACGAAATCGTAATTGACAAACACGTGTCTGACACTTTAACGTACGGCCATGAACTACTTGACGTTTGCTTTCTCGCGACTTTCTGAATAGTTTTCCGTCTCATTTTCGCGACAGTTATCCGATCGATCATCGGATGTGTAACGAGAAAATCACAAGTTCTTACAACAATTACATCGCGCGAAATTTTACAAATAAATATGGTAATAATAAATAAATATGAATAATTGAACATTACACACAAGGAACTTAACAATTTTAAAATTATGCAAATGAAAATAGTGTTATGCGTTTTAACACACCAATCAAAATGCAAAAGCGACGTGGAACAATTCACAAAAATTTTTTAGTTTTGCAAAAATATCGCACGTGTGTAAATATCAAAAACGAGTCCGAACAGATATAAATGTATACACACGTACGAAAACGTGCGTTTATATCGAATGAAAATATTATTCCATTTTATTCGGCCACCGAATGATTCTGCGATCTGAATTTGCACCTCGAATTTCGTTGATGATCTAAGCGCGATATCGTAGTAACATGACGCGCCACGCGAAATTTTCGAACATCATCACGCGTATAACGTTTTTCGCGTTTTCTCGGATTACGCGCGTTCCGTACATCGGCTCTCCGCGGCTTTATATATTCGCAATCTCTCGTGGATCGTCGCCAGCCGCGATCGGGAGCATACAATCGCCTGAGAATTTTCCCGCTGTATGGAAAATAAATAAATAAAATTGCATTTATCTTCCAGATGCGTGACGACTTTCAGTTTGTTACTGTCGTTTCTTCTGTCGCGTGAAGAGGGGCAGAAGGAGTTGCAAAAGAGACAGATGAGCTTTCAGATGAAGCTAAAATCCGTCCGAGCGCACTGTTTGAATACAATGGATTATGTCGAATTTCGTGCCGTCCGCGAAATGTTTATCGCGCTAACTCGTTGCAAGACACCCACGCCGGCTATTAATATCGCGGTCAGTACAGCGAAGTCCGCTGACTTTGAAACCCAATATCTGAATGGAAAAAGACTGCACGAGCTACTCGTGCGAAGCAAACAGACGCCGATTGTTTTGCTCAATTTTGATAAGGAAATGCGCGATTGCAGGGAAGTTCGCGCAATCTAATTGTGCGCGAGTAAATCTTTATCTAGCCAGATAACGCGGCAGAGAAGATGCGGTGTTTTTTATTTAGAATTTGACAGAGTCTAAAGTTGGACTTTTTGAATCGTGCGAGATTTTCTAAAAAAAAAAAAAAAAATATCTACGTTCGTCTGTGTGCGGAGACTCTGTAAAATAAAAGATACGTTATTCTCTCTTCAAGCAATTTATCTGTTGACACTTCAATCTTCCTCCGGAATTTCTGTTATATTCTCTCGCAAAAATCCGAGAACGTTTTTCTGAAGAAATCGTAAAAATATGTCGTATCGTTCGCCAGAAGCGAACCCTTGGCGAAACTCTCGTGCGATCTCTTCACAAAAAGGAAAAAGTTTTATTTCGAAGAAACCAATCACTAGGTTATTACGAGGAAAAAAGCGTGGAATCATCGACGTGTCTCCACCTACCTTTAGGGCGACCTGGGCGAAGGCCGGGACGTCGTCGGTTTTTGGCTTAGAATCTCTGCGGGAGTTGAGGGTCCAGGGCGCTGTGGGCATAGGCAAAGGAGAGGGACCATCCTTGACCCATGGCGGGCGGAAGGTGGTCCTCTGCGGCGGCTGACCGCCTGCGCCGGGCATCCTTCCTCAGCGTTCTCAGCTGATGAGAAAAATTTCTCCGCTTCTCTGCTTCCTCTAACAATTAATTACCGCTCTACCCTCGAGGGTCTTTCTCGCGATGTTTCGATTGGCGGATCGTCGCGTTCGTTCGTGTAAACTGACGATTTCTCGAGACCGTCAGTACTACGATCTTCTCCGACGACGATCCTGCCGTGCGCGATGCGCCACTGACGGATTCCTGGACCGATCGCGTTTCAAATGGGAAGGGGGACCACGCGTAGGCGAGGATTTGGCGCGACCCACTTCTCGCGTGAAATGATGATGGGGGTTCTCGGGATGATGGAATTTCGAACAGCGCAATCGGAAGAGGATTTCTTGTAACATTCGTGGTGTCACAGTACGTCGTTTCGACGTTCTCTCTCGTCTTTCGACGAGACTTCTTGCGTATCACGAACGGAGTCGAGGATTTTTGCGCGAGTTCGTGGAAGATCGAGACCTGGACCGCGCAACAGGCAGGTCTCGCGAACTGCACCTCTCCCCTGACCGTGTGATATTTCCGTCGGTATGACGTCACCGAGAGACGCGAGCCCGAAATAGAAAGAGGCGAGATATCCTCTCCTCCTCCTCCGAGACGCCCTCGGCGACGACGCGATCTCCTCCACGTCGTCCTACGACGTCTCACAAGCCGCGTGTGTTTACGATGCACCTGAGCCGCCGATCGTGACCGACCACCACGAAGGTCGATCGATCTTCAGGGTCGGTCAAGTCGCGGATCTCCGGAAGTTCATAGTAGTTAGGGAAAGAAGTTTCTGTTTGCGCGAAAGATGCAGGAAACTAGAGGAGATAGAAGAACAATGAGATAACAACAACAACATAATTTTTACAAAACAGTATTTATTGGTACAACGCGCCGCGCACGCACACACGGATCTTCTGTCAAAGTGCCAGATATTTATTTTATTTCCGTTTCCATTTGATTTATTCGACGCGGAAAGATTTTGTTTGTATGACTGCGCAGTATATGTTTGGAAAATCGTCAGCACCACATCATTTATGAAAAACAAATATATCAGCAGTTATTTTAACATAAATAAAACAATTTTAATCGCAGTGTGTCATATTTACGTAAATTCGATCGTATATTCCTCTCTCATTGGGCTATTTCTAATTATTTCTTCCGGATCGATACGATCTTTATTCGACCAGATGATCTAATTGTTGTATCGTCGCATGCCAAGTGCGTTTCATTCATTAACGCCGCAGCCTTTTCGATTAACCGGTTATGATCGTCGCGTTTGACCGTGAACGCAAAAGCGAAGGATATACAGAACACACACAACAGACAGAGCTTCTAGAAATTCTCTACTTCTGGAGTTAAGTCAAATTGCTCGTCTCTGCAACCGCAAATTGTGAATCATTTGCGGCCTCTTTTTTTTTGTTCGGCCGAGAGCGCGAACGCGTCGCGCCTCATTCGCAAATTGCGTGCCAAGTCGTTCGTCACCGTCACGCTTCACATAGGTATTTCAATAGATCGCAAAATGCAAGAAGATACTTAATCGATGCTTCATCCTGAGTTTTTTATCATATAATTTTTATAAAACTAGGCGGATAATATTTTGAGTAATTGTTTGTCAAATGTTTTTGTAAAATTTTATTGAGAGAGAAATTGTTTTCCACAGAAGAGATTTCACGTGGAAAGCAAAATTTCTTTATTCACACAGAAAGAGATGTGAAATATAAGTCAAGAGAGAGAACATAATCGTATATATTATATATATATATATTTAATAAAAAACCTTATTATATATATTTAATGAAAAACATATATAAACCATTTGTTGAAGAAGACGCATAAGACTTAGTAGCGAAACAAACCGAGTGACAGAAGATATCACAACGAGTTACCGTGACGCGGTAACACGTACACTTGCTCGTTCGCGGCCGCTACGCGAGATGGCGCCACTAGTTTCACAATTGGCGGCAGCCATTACCGCGTTTGGAGTAATACGCGCAACCGGAATCTTTAACAATAAGAAGAACCTGAACTATATAATTCAATAATTCAATTTATATGTAAATGCGATCTGTGTAAGTCGACACGCTAACCAAACTAACTGCGAGTACATTGATTAAACATAAATTTTCACGGATGACAAAATACTTTGTGTATAAAGCAGTGGCATCGCTATCGCGTGTAAAATTTGAAAACGTTTTGGTGACAATGTAAAACGTCTTCAGTTTGGTTATTTGGTAACAAGTGCAAAGTTGTTGCTCGTCGCGGACGCAAATGTTTGAAAGTGTAAAAATGTTTAAAAACTGTTAGAATACGCACACACACAGTTGGAAGGTAATTAATTTATCTCTCTCTCTTTATATTTATTAATTATTTAAATAATAATTTATTCTTTATTCAACTTGCAATTTATATTATTAGCTTTTCTAACCACACGTATACATTTTACAGGTCTTGAGCTTCTCGCGCCAAAACATGGAAATGTCGCAACAAGGTCGCCGGTAGAGAAAAGATCTTCCCGCGTCCACGAAGTTCTTCGAGATACGCGGAAAGTCGTCGGGTGAGTTAAGACTCTAATATTATCGTCTTTATTGTCGTTCCAAACGTTCCAATTAAGCACTTCGCCGGACGTCTTCCCTTCGGGGGACAAAGAATTTCCGCGGAATTCACCCGGCGAGTGCGGCTAGGTGGTCGCCATTAATTCTCGCGCGTACGCGGTGACAACCACCGAATTAGTCGGGCGATCCGTCAAAAAGCGCATTTCCGTGGGTAGGCGTGCGTTATATCCGCCGTCGCGGCGGAACACATGGCGCTCCGTCGCCGTTGGCTGCGGCACACGCGTAGAACGCAGACTCGCATCTGATGCGATGAGAAAGACGCCGATAGTGCCAAACCTGGATGGGTGGTAACTTGTGGACATATTAACGTGGAAAAATATTTTATCAAAAACTATCAAAAATCTGAGCAATTCTTCAAAAAATTATCTACCTGTTTCGAGCTGTTTTTTTTTTTTTTAAATCCGTGCTCGAATTCGCGTTGCGATGCGCCATAATGCACTGCCGGAAAGCGTTGCGTGAGCATTAACCAGGTGAGTGCAATATATATATATATATATGTATGCGGGGATATATTCGCACGTGCAAGAAGCGCAAAGCAGTTCTCGTTTCGTTCTATCCGGTGTCGTTAAATTTTTTGCTCAGACTCGGACTCGGAATCCCATCTCACGCGTGTTTCGCTTCGAGAACGTGTCGCGCGGCAATTTCCCCTCGCGTGAAAATGTTCTGTCGGATTTCTACAATACAACAAATTTTGCGAAGAAAATTGGTCCACATTTATTTATTTGATTAGAAAAAATATAGAATTTTTGTCTGAAGTCTCTAGAGAAACTGAAAACTGCGTACGACTATTTGGATCTTTGCAATGAGAAGACGATTGTAACTTGTCGTCGTTGTCTCTTTCTCTCTCTCTCTCACGTCCTGCTCTTTTTCCTCTTGAATTTTTATAAGAAATTTTCCGCGAGGATTTGTCCATTTTTCCGGAAGTTGTCGTCCATGCATGTGTCCGCGACGTGCGTTTTCAACCCTGAAAACTCGCACATGCACGCCGCCGATGGAAGGAAGAGCAGAAGCAATGGGAGGAAGCGAGCGGGAGGAGGTGGAGGAGGAGAAGAAAAGGTCGGAGGAAGGGCGGCACTCGTAATACATACGTGCGTCGTGCGTGCAATGGCCCGTAAAAGCTGACTGGCTGCTCGGCACCCGAGAGAAGAGGGATGCAGCCACGCCAGCTATGTTAATTAAACGCGTTTCTAGCCCCCGCATAGGGGAATCGGAGAAAAAAAGAAGGAAGGGAGCCGCGGGAGGAAGAAGACACGAGAAGGAGAAACGGGAGGAGAGAAACGGGACGGGACGGGACGGAGATGAGGAAGAGAGAAAAGAGTGCCGGGCTAATAACACGTCCCGTACGACGAACGCACGCCACACGCCCGTCTCTTCTTCTGCTACTTCTTCTTCGTCGTCTTCTTCTTCTTCTTCTTCTTCTTCTGTTGCCGCTGCTGCTGCCGCCTCCCTCTCGCTGCCGTCCTTTTGCCGCGGGGCGAATCGAGCGACGCCCGAAAGAAGATCGAGAGCGGGACGGATGGACGGACGGACGGACGGGCGACGAGAAATGTCTGCGAGAAAGGAACTTTGTAGTAACTGGAGTGAAGGCAAATTGGAGTATTAATTATCCCCGGGCCTCGCGCGTGTGTGTATGGGGAGTCGATTTGCTCTCGCTCGCGCGCGACGGACGAAGATTACGTCTTGACGTCTTCAAAGGGTTGGTAGCTGTCCGGCTTCCCTCGTATTCCCGACTGGGAGGAGTTTTCTGGCAGGGCGAACACGCGGAATCTTCGTACGCGCGAGACGACGACGCCGACGACGACGACGGGATAATCGCAGCGGCGGCCGAGTAGGCAGATATAGGTAGGCGCGAACTGAAAAGGCATCAATCGCGTTCCCGACGAAACGCGCTCTTCTTCTCGCTATAGAGCGAAGCGTGTTAATTGCGGTCGGTAATTGGCCGAGCAGCGTGTGCGGCAATGTGGATTATCCCGATCGAAATCAGCAAGTTCCTCTTCGCGAAACACTCACGTGATTTCACGCGCGCGAACGCGTTTCGAAGGAAGACGTGAAAAGGAAAAATACACGCGTGGCGCGTTGGCTCAGCTGCTTGTGTTACGTTCGGAAGTCGTAGCGAGTTTTTGGCCGACATTTCGCGGGACATTTCTTTCTCTCCGTTGAGTCGAGCTCGACGACCGTCCGAATCATCAATTTATTATAACGAGGGCGCGCTCGTAGACATTTGTCAGAATATTACGCCGCCGCCGCGCTGTGGTCGTCGGGGTAATAATTCTCGATGCGCCGAGACGACCGGAGGGCAAGAGCGCGCAGCGCTATAACGGCCTCGTTCGTTGATTCGTTCGTTCGTTCGTTCGTGCGTGCGCCGCGAAACAAGTTTTTCGGTAATTTTGCCGGCTGGGTCCGTCTTTGCTCGCGCTTCTGCTTCTCTCGCTCGACACAACGTCCCGTTGCGGATAATCACTTCCTGAGCCTAATGGCCTGCGTTGGAAAAAAAAAAGTGGGCCCGAAAAACTCGCTGATTGTCCCGCAAGAGATTAATCAATATCGCGAAATACCTGGCGATTTGTCGGCCGCTCGTGAATTCGAATTGCGTGCCGTTGCCTCTTTGAGAAGTAATAAGAAAAAAAAGTATACAGAGTCGAGAGTATAAAATTTGTCTGGTAGTTTTTTTTTTTTCTTTAAGAAGCAACCTTTAAAACTGCTTTAACGATACTTGCGAAACTTTTGACGCGCGTTTACCTGTAATTACCTTATATATATATATATAGACCTCGCTCGACAACACAAACCTCTTGCGTAATATTACCGTAAGAATTACTTTTGCGAAACTTCTTTGGCATCTAAGTGTGTAGAAGTAGA